GCAAGAAGAGAGTGGAGTGGAATATTTAAAGTGTTAGGACAAAAACTGACCAATCTAGAATTCTGTAACACAAAATTATCCTTCAAAAGTGAAGAAGAAATAGACTGTCAGATAAACAAAAACTGAGGAAATCTGTGGACAATACACTTGCTTTGCAAGATATGTTAAAAGAAATTCTTTAGAAAGAAGGAAAATGATAGATAAAATCAGATCAACTTAAAGCTAGGTGTACATGCCTGTAATCCTAGCACTTTGCAGGATGAAGCAAGAGGATTTTTGTGAGTTCAAGACCAGCCTGAGCTACAAAGTGAGCTTAAGGCCAGCCTGAACTGCGTAGTGAGACCCTGCCTCAAAAAAAAAAAAAAAAAAATTAGAGACAAAATAGTGAAGATGAAATAAAACTATTTTTCTTATTCTTTATTAATCTAACAGCAATTTTTCAAAACAACAACATTTGCATATGTATATATGTATGTGTTCTTCTAAATCAGTAAAATGAATGACAGCAATAATACAAGGGCAGGAAGGATACATTAGATTTTGTTATTTGAAGGTAGTAGCACCACCCATGAAGTTGTTATATCAGTCAGCTTTTCCTCGGGATAACAAATACCTGAAATAATCATCTTACAAAGAGTAAAGGCTCTTTTGATTCAGTTTTGGAGGATTTAGTCCATGACTTACTGACCTTGTTGCAAAATATAGCATAGTATACTTGGGCTTACATTTGTGGTCCTAACTTCAAATATTAGAGAATCTTATTAAGAATATCCATATTATAAATATAAAAGCAATAGTAAATGCATAAGTAGGTTTGTATACATTTTTATATTTATGTCTCAAAATAGCTCATAAGCTCTTTAGAACACAAGTTAACCATTTCTATTTTATAAAATCATCCAAGTTGTTTATACATTGATAAAACTGTAAACTTACATTTTCTGTGTAGTCACAAAGGAAAATATGCCTTTTAAAACTTAATCTTGCATATACAAAATGTACTGTTATATTAAATTTGAAAAACGAATCAGCATGAAAGTTTATGCTTGTAATTTTTAGAAAAGCAGTATAGAATGATCAAAAGTCATGAAAGTTTTTCCAAATCACAGGATGAAACCTCAAAACTAAAATAAACACTTAGGATATACTTCGTAATGAAGTGTAATTTATAGTACGAATATAAGGTTGGTACATGTGAAAAAAAAATCAACCAATGTAATATGACATATTCATGGTCTACAGAAGATTTTTTAAATGATCATCTCTACAGATTCAGAAAAACCACTGACAAAAGTCAACCTCCCTTTATGACTTAAAAAAGGAAAAAAGAGCCAGGCGTGATGGGTCATACCTATAATGCCAGCACGTGGGAGGCTGAGGCAGGAGGATCGTTTGTGAGTTCAAGACCAGCCTGGGCTACCGAAGTGAGTTCAAGGCCAGCCCAAACTACATAGTAAGACTCTGCCTCAAAAAAACACAAATAAATAAAAGAAAAAAGAAAAAAAAAACCCTCAACAAACCAGGACTTGAAGAAAACTTTCTCAACCCAATAAACAGCATCTGTGAATCTGTGAAAAGCCAGAAGTTAACATCATACTTAATGACTGAAAGTTTTCCTTCTAAAACTGGAACAAGAAAAGAATATCTGCTCTCACCACAGCTAGTCAGGACAGTTATGCAAAAGAAAGAAACAGAAGGCATCCAGATGGGGAAGGAAGAAGTAAAACTCTATTTACGTATGACATGATTTTGCATATAGTGAATCTGAAGGAGCCTTTAAAAATTACAACTAAAGCTAAAACAGAAAACAAACAACAAACAAAAAACCCCAACTAATAAACTAGCTCAGCAAAATAGCAGAATAAAAGATCAATATATAAAAATTCATTATCCTGATTGCATTTTGAAATTTTTCTTTGAAATAAAATAGATTTGAAAAAAAGTTAATGAAAATATGAACAAGAAATTAAGAAAACAATTGCAACTTATAAAACTATCAAAAGAATAAAATACTTAGAACTGGGCATGGTGGCATATGCCTATAACGGCAGGACTCTGTGGCAGGAGAATCTTCAAGTTTGAACCCAGCCTTTAATGAGATATCGTTACAAAATTTTAAAAGGGATTGGGAGTGTGTGGTTCAGTGCAAAGACCCTGGGTTCATTTCTCAGTAGCACAAAAAATAAAACAGAAATAACAAACAACTAAAAAGGTACAAGACTCATACACTGAAAACTACACAGTACAGATGGAAGATGATGTAACTATTGACATCTAGTGTACATGGATTGGAGAAACTCAAATTAAATGGCAATATTCTCCAAAACAGCCTATAGAATCACTGCAGTCTCAATCAGAAGTCTAGCTGTTCCCTGCTTACTGAGAAATTGACAAGCTGACTCTGAACTTCATAAAGAAATGTAAGAGACTCAAAGTAAACATTGAATAATGTTTTAATTAAATATTGAAAAAAAAGTTGAACTCACAGTCTCTGATTTCAAAACTTACTCTAAAGCTACAGTAATTAAAATATGGTACTGGCATAAGAATAAACTGCTCAATGAAACAATTGAGAATATAAACTACATCTATGGTTGACTGAGTTTCACAAGAGTGCCATTCTAACTCAGTGAGGAAAGAACAGGACAACTGGGTATCTGTGTACAAAAGAATGAAGTTAGCTCTTTATATCACAATAAAAATTAATTCAAGTGAAAACTAAGACTTAAATTTAAGAATTAAAACTATAAAACTTAGAAGAAAACATAGGTATACATTATTTTGTTTTTTGTCTTTTTCCTTTTTATTGGTACCGGGGATCGAACTCACGACTGCCTGCTTCCAAGGCAGGTGCTTATGCCGCTGAGCTAAACCTCCAGCCCCCAGCTATACATTATTTTGAATTAATGTTTCAATGATAAAGTATATGCAATCAAAGAAAAACATAAATAGGACTTCACTGAAGTCTAAAATTTTGTACATCAAGAAAATAAAGAAGCAGCCAGGAGTGGTGGCATACTCCTGTAATCCCAGCACTTGGGAGGCTGAGGCAGGAGGCCTGTTGCAAGTTCGAGACCAGCTGGGCTACAAAGTGAGCCCAAGGCCAGCCTGAACTGCATGGCGAGATCATCTCAAAAAGACCAAAAAAAGAAAAAGAAAAAGAAAGTAAAGATAACCTATGCCAGTGGTGGCAAACCTATGGCACATATTTTTTAGGACAAGAGATGTTAATATACGAGTTGTTTTTTCTAAACTGAAACATCAGTATTTGGTTTAACTGCAGTGTTGGCACTTTGAGATAAATAAGTGGGCTTTGTGTTGCACTGTGGGCAACACAAAGTTCTGCCATGAATGGCCTACAGAATGGCAGAAGATACTTCCAAATCACCTTGTCCGATAAGGGTCTTATGTAAAGAAACATAAAGAACTTTCAAAACTCAGCAATAAAATAATCTATTTTAAAATGCAATGGAAATGGGGAATTACTGCTTACTGGTTACTGTTTAGGGTGATAAAAATGTTTTAGAAATAGAGTAATGGTTATACAACATCATGAATATTATTACTACTACTCAACTGCACACTTAAAAGGCGAATGCTACATTATATATTTTTTATCATGATTCTTAATATACCAACAACCTTTAATTATACACATTAAATGGGTAACTTGTATGTGAGTTATATTCAATAAAGTTCCTATAATCTGGAAGGAAAAAAAATGAGCTTACAAGCCCTGAAAAGACCTTAAGGAATCATAAGTGCTTATTGCTAAGTGAAAAAACTAGTCTGAAAAGACTACATATTTTATGACATATGAAAAGGCAAAACTGTAGACATTAATGGTTTCCAGGGGTTCAGGATAATTAACAGACAGATCACAGGAGTGGTGGCATTTTTAGGGCACTGAGAAACTACCCTGTATAATACTGGCTAGTAGGCAGGATATCACACATTTTTTTAAAACCCACAGAGCTGTACAATACAGGGTGAATTCTAATGTAAAATATGAATTTTAGTTAATTATATCAATATTGGCTCATCAGTTGTAACAAATGTACCACACTAATCCAAGATGTCATAGAAGAAATCAGAAATGAGTAGGAATGGTAATGTGCAGACTGTATGTATAATTTCTCCACAAACCTAAAACTACCCTTAAAAAGGAACTGCTTTTAAAATGCACACTTAGAGACTTTTAAATTTTACTTTCTTGTGATTCGTAAGATTATTCACTTTAAACCCAAATTACAATTTTACATTAGATGGAAAGGAAGTGCTGATTCTTCTATCACTGCAGAGTGTCAGGCATTACTGAAGCATCTCAATATTCTATACATACTTTCTTCTACTTCACCTCCTCTTCCGGCCCCAACAGAATTGTTTTATGCTCTAAATTTCTGTATTCCTATAACTACTTCCAATATAGGAAGACAGGCTTTGAATATCTCATAGTCTTTGGGAACATTTTATTTTTTTATATCTAAATTCCAATGTAATTATAACTATGAATTACAGTGACATTATTATACCAAATTGCCAATGTCTCCTATTTTTAAACCTGATTCATTTTCTCTGAGGTATCAACTTATCAAAAACCTAAGTGTGTTAGTTTTGTACATCCTTTTGAAAAAAAAAATACTGTTTTCTAAAGCACTGCAGAGTCAATCAAAGGATTAACTGTTCCAGAGAACAGGGGGCTGATACATTTAAGAACCACCATTAGCAAAGCATGGTGACAGAAATCATAATCTCAGCACTCTTCAAGGCGAAGGCAGGAGATCACAGGTTTGAGTCCAGCCAGCGCAATTTAGCAAGACTGTCTTAAAATAATAATAATGATGATGATGACGATGATGTAGTTCAGTGCCAACACTCTAGTTTGAGCCCCAATACAAGCAGAATAAAAATAAAAATCTCTTCCCTGTTCCTGATTTAAAATGACCCCCCCCAAACTCCTAATCTTTATTGACATACTACACAACTTCTTTAACTGTTACCTTGGTCTTTTCCAGCTTCGTCTATGTGTTGAAAGTCTTTTAGCATTTGAAGGTTAGAGAAACCCTCTCTGCAATGCTGAATAACTGTCTTTGATCCATTCTTGATGAGATAATCCATCAAGGTGAGGGATTTATATACATGGCGCCAGTTTTTCCCATGGTCACTTAGCCTTTGCCATAGTATACTCATAATCTCTGAGCGAGAAATGGTGTTGAAAGTCAAGTCACTGATATCTAGCATCAGAGAACTGGAGGGACCCCAGGGGTCATTAGACGTTGCTTCCCTGACTTTTATTTCAGCATCTGAATAATTTTTCACAAAGTTTTTCACTTGTCTCCTGAATGCCATAGGTAGGACAACTCTGAAGGTAAAATGGGGGACGAGAGCAATGGAATAAGAATGTGTGTGACTGGTTTATAAAATTCTCAACAGGTGATCAGTCCCCAGTTCTGCTGATCCTAAGTACAAATGATTAATCTCCATGTTGATAAAGTATCGATTTCCTACAAGAAAAGCACAAAAAATGCGTAAGTTAAATTAAAACACCAAGTCTGAAAATCTAGGGTTAGCTTCTAAATTAGCCCTTCACTTATATCAGCAAGAAAGTTCGTAGGATGGACACAGAAAAATCCCTCCTAAGTGACTAGCCTATACAGGTGGTCTTTGTAGTCCTAAAAATACCAGAAAATATCAGTCAATGTGTCTGGCAGAAACACAATGATTATAATACATTACATGGGTAGTGCACAAATTAATATAAAAAATGGAATTTGAACTCTGACATCTCCTGCTTAATACATGCTTAATAATGCCATGTGTAAAAATAGTGTGTCTGAAAGTAATTAAAATGATGGGGGAAATTCAGTTTTAGACTCTTTTTTAAACCTTTACAGAATAACAAGTCATTATACTTACATCCAAATATTATCTACTTTCTGGTTAATCTAAAAGCAAGGAAAGCCATCTACTAAGACAATTACTTGTACCTCAGTGGACTCCTCCAGCCAACTCATTGGTAACCTAAAACCAAAGGTGTAGTCCAGATAAGGTAACTCACCATTTAAAAAAAAAAAAAAGTGCTGGTTTAGGATTAAACAGTATCAGTAGTGATAGTCAAATTTCCCTAATACCTTCAGTGACTGTGTCTAACAGACCTAAAAACAAGTACATACAAAGAGAAACCCATTTAGATCGACACAAACATAAATTAACACATAAAAGGGGTATGAAGTTCTGAAACTTTAGCTTGTGAGTTATCAATTCCTAATTTACATGAAAGCATTCCCTTTTCCCTTTTCCATTACTTTGTATCAAGGTGAGTCAGCTGCTCTGCAATTTCCCTAGTGATTCACCACTGGCTACAGGGAAAGTAGCCAAATTGATTTCAAGCTCTGATCAGCATCCAGAACAAACGAAGCCTAGAGGATCTATAATCAGTTACTGGAGAAACTGCACTCATACAAATGAAAAGAAAATGAGAAAAAAAATCAACAACAAATGTTTAATTTTAGTGTTGTTTCTCTTCCTTGACCTTCTCAGATACCAGCTCAGGGATGATTAATTTCTGTTTATGAAAGGAACATATAAATATTCAGAAGCAACCTAAATGAACTATCACTTCTTTTTAAAAGGAGATAATAAGTCTTTTGAAAAAAAAAAGCAAAATATAACATGCTATTGATTAAATGAAAGCCTCACAGAAAAGAGACTACTATCAGACTACCAAAAGACAAGTTGTACATTTTAATCAGATAAAAATGCATGTACCTGAACTGCCAACAAGAGAAAACTCAGAAAGTTAAGTATCCAAAAATCTGGTACCTTCACCAACTTTCTGAGTTTTCTCTTGTTGGCACCTCAAATACATGCATTTTATCTGATTCCCTCCTGCAGCAAAAAAATAAATGTGGTAAACAATGTCTTACTAAGGTATTAAAAACTTTGATTTCTATTGTTATTTTTCCCCTCTACCAAACTCATTCAATACAAATATGTACTGTGACATTGGCTTAGAGCAACAAATATTGATCTGTTTCTTCACAAGCCTATTGTTAAAAAATCTGTCAGAATCATAACTTGCTAGACTTGAACAACTATTATTAAAATCTTTTTGTTGTTGTTTGTTTTAGGATAGCTACTTATCTATATTTAGGAAAGACAATCCTAATTTTAGGTCTTCCTAAATTCTCTAGCCTGCATTCATAATTTTGAAGTATTTTCTTAATTTTCTGCCATAGAAAAATATAAAAATAATAGCCTTCTACACCAAAATAGTTTAAAATGCATGTGTTTGACACCCTGTCAAAATTAAGTATATTCCCAACCGTTATAAAAACTACAAAGGAAAAAAACCTGCATAGGTAAATTAAGATCACTAATGTACAGTGACATGAACTTTCCTTTGTGACTCATTCACAGAACATGTAAGATGTCATTCTACTACAGTACTGTTACTCCTTTTCAGATTAACAAGGAATTTAATTAATTGGTGTTAAATTATGTGTCATTTTATATTTTAGACACATGACTATGGTTTACTCACATCACCACATAACCTTGAATTATGTGTTCAGTCATAAACTGTATAACAATGTTTTAATTAATGATGGAGTGTATATGCCAGTGGTCCCACAAGATCATATCACCTAGTAACATCAGACCATCTTAATTTGTGAGTGCCATCAATAACATCTGCACAACAACAAAATCATCTAATGGTACATTTCCCAGAATGTGTCCCCATCATTAAGCATTATCTGACTATAATCTATAAGCATTATCTGACTATCTGAGACAAAATGAGCAGCAAAAGGTAAAATTCCACATGAATCTCAGTTGTGGCTACCCATATTACACTAAATTGAGAAACAGAGGGGGAAAGGTACTTCATGTCACAAATCTGTGCCATCTCCTTTAAGGGGCTTTTACTGACCTTACTAATACTTAGGTCACCACCACATTCTTTTCAGTACCACATTAATTTCCTTCATGACAGTGACAATGATCAAACAAACAAACCCAAGGATCAATAGAACAGATTTGAAGAATCAGAAGCAACTCCAGACATACTTAGCCACCTTATCTTTAACACAGGTGCCAAACACATCCACTGAAAGATAGCTTCTTTAATAAATGGTGCTGGAAAAACTGGCTTTGTGCATACTGAAAATTAAAATTGGACCCATATCTTTCATCATACACTAAAGTTGAAATGGATCAAAGATCTAAATATCAAAACAAAAACATTAAATCTGCTTGAAGACTTTGGCATAGGCAAAGACCTTATGAACAAAACCCTGGTTGTATAGGGATCTCATTTAAAAGCTTTTGCATAGCAAGAGAAACCACCAACATAATGAAGAAACAACCCAGTGTCTTTTTCCCAGTGTGGGAAAAATGTTGGCCAGCTGTTCCTCAGACAAAGGATTACTATTCAGAACTCAAAAGCAAAATCCAACTCCTTAAATTTAAAGGCCCAATCCAAAAATGGGCATCTGAGATGAATATATACTTTTTAAATGAAAAAGTACAAATAGTAAATAAATATATGAAAAATGTTCAACATCACTGGTCATTCAAGGGATGTAAATTAAAACAAAGTTGGAATTCCATCTCACTCTAGAAAGAATAACTATCATCAAGAGATCAAACCAATAACAAATATTAGTGGGGCTGTGGGGAAAGGAATCCATTTCCACTGTTGGTGGAAGTGTAGATGGTGCAACCACTGTAGAAATAAGTGTGGAGATTTCTCAAAAAATGAGGACTAGAAATCTCATTTGACCCAGCTATTCTTCTAGATTATTGGTCCGTAAGAATTAAGGCATCATTCCATAGCAACATATGCACTCTCATGTTTAGAGTGGCACAGTCTATAATAGCCATATCTTAGAAACAATACAAATATTCATCAATTGAGAAATCGATAAAGAAGTTTTTTTTACACAATGGAGTACTACTCTGCCATAAAGAATGATAATCTTGAGACATTCCTAGGTAAATGGATGCACCTTGAGATGATATTGTTAAATGAAATAAACTGTAAATGTGTAAATACCACATCATTTCTCTAATGTGAGAAACTGAAAGTTTAAATTAGAATCAAAATGTGTATTAAGTATTGTGAAATAGGAAGAAAGTGTTCACATAGGGAGGAGAACAAAAGAGGAAGAGGAGGAAAGTCAAGAAGGAAAAAATGGAAACAAAGCTTTTGTAAATGGGGAGGGGAGAAGGGATTGAAGGGAGGGTAGGGGAATGGGGAAAAAAGAATCAAGTTATATCATGTATAGGTACAAATTCTCTACGATGAATGTGATCATTTTGTATGTCTAAAATGTATCAATAAAGTCTGATTGAAAAATAATCAGTTGACATTAAACTACTGATCCACAATCTCTTATTCAATCCTTTGAGGCCAGCTAAGTTTTTTATTTATTTTTAAATGTAGGGCAGTGCCTATATCATACATTCCGTAATACCTGCAGTATCATGCAGTGGCACCAAACAATAAAACTGACCCATCAACGTATCTGCAACAAAAACATGCAAACATTCGGAATCAAGGTTATAAAATGAATGACTTTAATTCAATTCAGGTTTTACCAGTAAGTGACTTACACAGAGAAGTTGCTTTCAACATTTCTCAGATTTCAAAATTGAAACAGAGGATTTAGTAACTGGATGGACTATGCAAAGACTTAGAGGGTAATGATAACAGCAAAATCTAAGAGGCTGAGTGCCAAAAGGCAGTTCGAGAAAGAGGCATTTTTGGAGTAATGCTCTGAGGAGAAAGCAGCTCTTGTTTGTACAAGCTCTACCTACAGGCTTCAGTTCAATTTAGGAAAAAATAAATTCTGGCCAAAATTGTTACAAGAACACCATGGCATTAAGAGGTGTTACTGTTTTGATGGAAAGAAACAACTAATAACTTCCGGGCGCTTACCGCGTGCCAGGCTCCATCCCAGGAAACGGAGAAATGGTCCCACAAGACACCCGGCCCGCCCCTGCACCAGTGGCTCCGCCTGGGCGCCCCCGGCCTCCTCTCACTGCTTCAACTGGGTTTAGAGGGCATGGATTTGAGGTCCTGATCCGTCACTGCTTAACTAAGACGTAAGAGCCAGGCTGGGTCTCATTTCCCTCACCTGCAGATCCAGGAGTAATCACTAGACGGGGCTTTGAAGAAAGGCGAAGCTTTCCAGACAATTTTGAAAAACGGAAAGTTATAAGCTGACAGAGAATCGACTCCCTACAGACAGACAGACACAGTCTTTCCTCACTTCTTCATTTAGTCAGCAGTGATTTCAACAAGACCGCCGAGCCTGGTGCGGGTCACTCAGAGAACCTGACCAGCGACTCACCTAAAATGGGGCAAGATTTCTACAGAACGGAAGTCTGGGCTTCGAGGAAGCTTCTGGAAGGCTGGAGAGCATGATGGCGTCGCACAAGTCCCGCCCTCATGGAGACACAGCCTCGGAGCCTCCCCACCGCGCCCCCATGGCCTGTCCCACATATGGCACAGGCAGTGAAGAGAATGGATGCCAGCCATCTCATCCCGCCAACTGCACTCCCACACCCAAGTCTGTTACCTGAGAAGAAGGTCCAGCTGCATCCTGCGACGCTTTCCCGCTCAAATCCAAACCCCGTCGTCCCTCAAGCTACTCCACCTCCTCAACCAGGTCCCAGCGTCCACACGCTCCCCACCTTATGCTCGTCACTTCCGCTTCGTCACTTCCGGCTCCCTGGCCCCGCCTCTCCGGACTCTACATCTGCTGGCTGTAGGAAGTTAACGTGCTCCAGCCGGGGAGTATCAAGTGCAATCTAAAGAAAAAGGTCTCCATTTCCCAATCGGTGGTGCTGTAGCAATGTACTTACTTTCTTTTCAAAGACTAGAGTTTTACAATTGTCTTACTAGTTTAATTTTACCTAACTAGAAATGTTACCTCACTAGCACCTGATTGCCACCTAAGAGACAAAGATTTAATAGTCTAGAGAGGAGGAGATCGTGTGAGCGTAATGGGCAGGATGGAGTTCCTCCAATGATGAACACTTCAGGGACCACTGAGGGGTAGAAGTTTATAGATGCAGCTGATCCTCACTGAGCGCCTATTCTGTGCCAGGCTGTAATGACTGAGAGATAAAAATGCAGCCCTATGCCGGATGCATTTACAGGATAGTGGAGGTGACAGGCACCTTCGCGGAAGATTGTGACAAGATATGTATAGCATAATAAGAGAGGAGAGACCATCTAATTCTGACAAGGAGTATTTAAGGGCAAGTTTCACAAAAGAGTTTACATCTGAATTGAATCTTAAAGGATGACAGGAGGTTCACTGGGTAGACAAAGCACAGGAGGAGGTGAGAGGCAAAGGACACATCCTGTGTAAAGGCATGAAAGCTGAAAGCCTATTATCTTGATAAAACTACAAGTACTGTAGTTACTATGGCTGTCGCCAAAGCTATTAGTGAAACAGTGAAAGAAAGTGAACTGGCAGAGGGAAGTCAGATCATGAATAGCTTTGTCCATAGTACTAGGTGATTTTATCCAGCAGACATTGAAAAATGTAATCAAGCCCATATTTTAAAACACGTTGGTGACTGAATGGAATATTGAGTAGGATGGGAGAAAAAGACTTAAAAGGGTAGGAGAATGGTTAGTATCCAAAAGTAATATATATCTTTAGCTTCTACTGCTGCTTTTAATTATAATATTAAACATTATTGATCCTGACATGCAGACAGATAATGCCATATGAAATGTAGAAGGAAAAGGTGGTGTGTTTAAAATATTATTTAGCTAGTTTCATATAATGAAGGTAGTAGACAGAAGGTAGTAGACAGATGCAAATTAAAAATTTGGCCTGCCAAAGCCAACTTAAACGACATAGCAGGACAAAAAAAACAAAAACAAAAACCCACCCTGGAAAAAAACAAATCGCACAGGACCTCTAATGGTATGCTACAGTATTTGAATTTTATTCAGAAAAGTAGTAGGGCCTGGGAATGATGATGTACACCTATAAATCATAGCACATGGAAGGCTGAGGCAGGAGAATCACAAGTTCAAGACCTCCCTAGGCTATATATTAAGACCTAGTCACAAAAACAAAACAAACAGAAAGGTAGTGGAGGACAAATAATAAGCATTTATGCTTTGAGTTATAGTTTATGAATTTTTTTGTATGCATCTTACATAAATTCTGAAAAGTAGACAATGTTGCCCTGTAGTACAGATGAGGAAGCTGAGTTTGGGGAATATGCTTTCATTATTGAGCATCTGCTATGTGCCAAGCACTGTGCTAAACCATGAGAATGCCAGGAAGATGTAGCCTAATAATCTAATAGTAGAAAAAGAAATAATCAGCAAGTATAAAATCATTGCCATGATAAAGTCAGGCATAGAGTGTTATCATAGTAAAAAGGAGACTTGTCTAAAACTGCATAATCAGAAAAGGCTTCTTAGAGGAGGGGAGCTCAAGTTGAGTTTGTGGGAATACATAGATTATAAGGATTGTTGACACCTGTAATCCTGACATCCTGGGAGGCTGAGGCAGGAGGATTGCAAGTTTGATCCCAGTCTAGTCAAAGTGAAAAATGTTAAAAAGTGCTGCAGATATAGCTCAGTGCGGAGGTCCTGGGTTCAATCCCCAGTACACACACATACACGAAGATATAAAACGTTCTTAATATTCAACAAGCTAGTGATTTAGTTGAACCCAAATCTCCAGTGCCCAATCTCTGATCTTTTACTCTGGGAACAGTCTTTGCCCTGCTTCCACTGACATTTTCACTCACGATTGTGCCTGCTTCAGTTTGAAGTCAGAGATTACAATTTTTTCCCTTTTAAACTCATTCATTGTCTCCTTTTAGAATGAATTCAGCATATGTTCAAAAAGTAAACTGGAAGCAAAACAGAAGAATTGGAAGAGCAGAAGAATTTTATAGTTGTTCTGGAAATACATGATGAAGGCCAAAAAGAAGTCGAGAAGCCCTTCCGTCTCCCTGGCTTTAAATTTGGTGGTTTTAGTTGCCTACAGTCAATGGTAGTCCAAAAACACTAAGCTGAAAATTCCAAAAATAAGTTCATCAATTTTAAATTGCATTCCATTCTAAAGAGCATGGTGAATTTTCCCACTGTCCCATGTCCCCAAGGGAGGTGAAACACCCTTTGCCAGTCTCCACACACTGTATGTGCTGTCCATTAGGCATTTGATACTGTTTTATTTATCAGATTGACGGTTGGTTATTGCAGTGCTTGTGTCAAGTAACCCTTCGTGGCAGCCTAAGGCTCCCGCACAATGCTGGAGTCATCCATCTCACTTTACAACATGCGACTGGCCATTGTATCATCTCACATTGTCACCAAGAACAAAAAACCGCAGGCAGTTTGCATCATTTTTTTTTTTTTTACAGCTAATTTCTAAGTTACCCTATATTGAGGCTGAGATAGGAGGATTATAAACGGAAGCCCAGCCTGGGAAAACTTAGCAAGATCCTGTCTCAAACTAAAAAAAAAAAAAGTAAGAAAGAAGATTGTAACTCAGTGCAAAAGCCCTGGGTTCAACCCCAAGAACTGGAAGGAAAAAGCACTTTTATGACAGATGTGTACATAGAAGAAATAAAAACCATAGTGCACATAGGGTTCAGTCCGATCCAGTTGGGCAGCCCCTGGGGTTTTGGGAACACATTCCCCAGATAAGTGGGGAGCACCGGTATAGGCTCAGTGTGAGCCCCCACTCTGCTCACTCTCCCCTGACACATATACTTTTGGATGGAATGGTAAAGTGTCTGCGTTTCTGTGCTTGACACCAACTAGATGTGGGACTGAGGGAGGAGAGTCTACGGCGATTCTCCAGTTTCTTCTCCACCGTGTCAGGGCCGCTGCTCATGGAGCTGAGGGACACAGACTGGAGGTGCAGGCTGAGCAGGGAACATGACAGATTCTGTTCTGATGATCAGATCTGTCACATCAAGTGCCAGGAAAAAGGTGGCAATGCCCAGGAGGTGGGCGTGTAGAGGGAACTGGAGAGGGTTCGGGGCTAGGTTCACAGACCCGAGAGTAGCCAGCGTAGAGGAGAGGCACCAAGGATGAGATCAGAGACTGTGGGAGGGAGGTGCTTACACTCAGCCAAAGTCTGAGGTGTCCCCAACTTAGTAGAATTAACCTGGTTAACACGACACCAGGTAAGAGGCTCTTCTTATCTGCTTTCCTCCATCTGGGGACACAGTTTAGTTACGATATTATAGAATTTGTCACATACAAATGTGGTTCTATGATAGTAATTTTCTTGAGTGTTTTCCCCCTTTAATGTTCTGAATTCAGCATTTTATAAAACAGAAGAAAGTTTGCTTTCCTTGATTTCAGGGCACCCTTTCTTCCTGATTGCTTGCTTCATTTTTTTATCCGTTCTCTGACTTCTCAGCTGTGGAGAGCTCTGTTCTGCAGTTTTGTCTTTTCTATCTACATTCATTTCCTAGGTGGTGATGTGCAGTCTCATGACTACAAATACCCTTCTATACCAGCAACTCACAATCTCGGACCTCCAAACGTGTGTGTTGAATGCACTTGACCTTCCTATTGCTATGTATCACAGAAATCTCAAACTTAGTATGTCTCAACCAGACTCCTGTGCCTGTCCCCAGACCTGCCCCCCATCAGTCTCTCCTGCCTCAGTCAGTGACACATCCTTTCTCAGGCCGTGAATGTTGGAGTCGTTTTTAATTCTTTTCTTTACCTCTTATACCTCATCGTCCTCCCAGTTTACCTTTGAAATGCAGGGTGGCTGCCGAGTCTGAAATACTCCAAAATACATTTAAAAGATATAGGATAGTCATTTTATCTGTGTTTCTAAACTCTGTGACCGCCCTGTATGTTTGGAATCCATCACCTCCACCGCCATGTTCTAGGCTGCCATCGGCTCTTTGCCTGGATGTTTGAAGGAGACCCCCAGCTGGTCTCCCTGTTCCTGTTCCTGCTCCCTCCCAATTTCATGTCAATACAACAGTCAGGGGAATCCTTTTAAAATGTAAAACCCAACCCAGGTCATATCACTCCTGAGTTAAAAAAATGTCCATTGGTGCCCATCTCAGAGTCTAATCCAAAGGCCCTTCGATGGCCAGCGAGGGCCTGGTGTTTTGCCCCTTTCTGACTCCAGCCTGACTCTCCTCTGCCTTGCTGGCTGTGGCAAGCATGCTCCCCCAGAAGGCTTTACAGCTGCTACTCCCTCTTCCTGAAGATATCCATCGCCTAGTTTCCTCCCTTTGTGCTGGTCTTCTCGAATGTTCTTTAATGACCCAAAATAAAGTTATGAACTTCAGCTCAGGCCTGCTTCTGAGGGCTGTTGCCCTCTTTTACTTTTCTCTAGGACTGTGCAGCCACTTACCTATGTATCTTTGCTCTCTTTACCAGAATGTGGTACCTGCATTCCCAGAGTCTACTGCAGGCCTAACAGAGATGTTCAAACGTGGTTTATTGAATGAATGAGAAGAGAACATCTGAACCCACACTAGTGAATCCACAGCATACATTTTGCCATACTGTTACATTAAGCACAATTACATATTTTTTAAAAGTTCTGATATTAACCATGACCATTCAAAAAGAATTACTGAAGAGCTTTAAAAGGAACTTTCTCCATTGTGGACGAGTGAGGTTTCACATATTGCTGAAGCCTCCCAGCTACCTGCCATCATTCTGAATGTCTGTGACGGCGAGGACTGGAATGCTGACGT